GAGCGCTGAATGGTTAAACACTGGCAAGAATGAAAAAGTAATGCAAAAACTTTACTTATAAACTTTAGTGACGATGTGACACTGCCTCGATTGTGCAAGTGACAATTACTGTGTCAACTGTGCAGCGTGCAGCTCGCTTATAGACAGACGCGATGTGGTGATTTGAAGCCATTTGCGTATTTTGAGAGCGCGCATGTGCGGTCATTCACTCTCGCTGTTTGTGAAATTACATCTCACACAATGTTTTCAAATTACTTTATAAGTTATCTAATGAAGAAATATGAAGGTGAGTACCTCACCTTCAGCATTATAATGATTTCACCCGCGCCGGACAGAGACTGAGATGGTGCCGCTGCATGTCATGCCAAACCTCTCATGGCAGCGTCATCAGCTTGAGATCGGCCTTTTTAGAGACCGCCGATCAATCATCCCAACGTGATTATCGGCCGATAATGATCGGTAGCCGATCAATCGGAGCACCCCTACATTTTATGCAGTCTCATTCAATCAATCCTCTGCTTTTCTGCGAGTCTCTGTAGCACACAGCTCTTGTGAAATGATCAGAATGGTGTTTGTGTGTGCTGTGCGACTGAAAGAGCATCCTGTCTTTATAAACAAACAGTGAGTAAAGTGTTTATCTTCCTCTCTGGTTGTTTTCCTTTGTGTTCTCACCGTTGGTCTCCTCTTAACACCCAGGAATAGAAAATCATTTCCCTTCCTGAGTTGCAGATTCGGCTGCAGAGAAAAGCGTTTCTCTTTCTCTCATTATAATAAAAGCACAGCCAAATCCTTGTTAAGCCTGGATGAGCTGAAAGGGTTAAACTTCATATTTCATAAATATGAAAAAAGAAGACAATCCCACGGTCAGAGACGGATTCAGGGATCTCCGGCCCTGCATTTACATTAAAACGGGAGCTTGTTATACGGTGAAATTTCAATGAAGGCACCGCAGAACGCATTTAATGAAATTCAGATGTGGCTCTATGAATCTCATTAACAGTCTTTGTGCTTTTCTGCTGTCCGATTTCCCCCTCGTCTGCCCGGTCGTGAGAGAGATTTCATCAGCGCCCGGCTTTCAAAAAGACAATGTCCGTTCAGATCTGAACTCCCCACGCTCTCTCCTCTGACGGAGGCCGAAATCTGTCGTAGTTTGAGTTCAAAAGGCACACGACTGACTCTTCCTCTGTTTCTGTCTCTCTTTCCACAGGCTTTGGCTTCGTAACGTTCGAGAATGAAGACATTGTAGAGAAAGTCTGTGAAATTCATTTTCACGAAATCAATAATAAAATGGTAAGTGCTTTGCCCATTTTCAATTTCTGAAGGTGATTGAGGGATTAATATTTTATTTCCCATTTAACAGGATCCTAACAGCATGTGGTTGTAAGCGCTGAGAGTGTGTGTAAACAGTGTAAAGTGTTGGGCAGTGGCCAGAAAGCGTGCAATTGTGTGTGTGCATGTGTGTGTGAAAACATTTTGATCAGTCAACAAGAGTCAGAAACTTTCCCCTCCCTCCTTCATTTATAAATGCTTGCATCATGACTGATGGGGCTAAAAAGAGAGAGAGAGGTAACTGGCACATGTTGAGTTCATTAAATCAGGATTGTCACCCCACAGGCTGCCCAGTTTTGGACAGAACCAGCAGATGGGCCACCAATGTTGGCTTTCAGCTTGCAAATAAATGTTTTTCCTTGAAATTAGATGGAAAATACCTAGTCTCAGCCTCATATGGGCCACCCATAGACTGTATATGCAACATCTGATGTGCGTTGCATAGTCACTGGATTTGTCAGGTTCAAATTTGAAAGAGATTGTATAAATATCCAGTATTTTTATATACATATATATGAGTTTTACTTTTACCCAACTTAAATGTTGCATAAAATGTCTAGATGGCCACAATATTGCAGATAGTCCTGGCTATGTGAACCTATTTGAGAACTTTTGTAAACAATTTAATGATTTATTATTAAATAATATTATTATATAATTTATCTATGATTAAACTCAAAATGAAATATTAATAAATTAAACTCTAAAATAAATGAAACTATAAATATTAAATATTAAACTCATAAAGACATTTATAAAAGGATGGTATAAAAGATTTCTAACTTAAATCAGTGCTGTTTGTTTTGAAGTTGCTATTCATTAAACAGTCCAGAAAATGTGTATCAGTTTCCACAAATATATAAAAAGCAGCACAACTGCCTTTTCAACATTGATAATAAATATTTCTTGAGCAGCAAATCAGCACATTAGAATGATTTCTGAAGGATCATATGACACTGAAGACTGGAGAAATGACTATTAAAAAAGTATCTTTGCCATCACAGGAATAAATTTCATAGTACATCAACACAGTATTACTGTTTTACTATATTTTTGATCAAATAAATGCTGAGCATAAGCATGACAAAATCTTACTGACCCCAAACTTTTGAAAAGTAGTGCATAATTAAATGTCATTTAAATAGTCATTTTTTTATTTTGAAGAATGCTTCATACAAATATATGCCTGACTGAGCAGAAGCATGAGTTGATGGGAGGTTGTTTTGCATGTAGAGAATCGGCCCCTGGCTCTGTGCTGCCTCTGCTGGGCTCTCTGCTGTGGTTGACAGGAGCGGTGTGGTGGAAAGGATCGGTTTGGCTGGGGTCTCCTCGGAGGATCTCTCTCACACTCATCCCTGTGTACTGTCCATGCGTATACCCTGGGCTCACGGGACAGCTGTGGGGTAGCACAGAATATCAAACCCCTTAAGATCTTCTTCCGTCACAGACAGGTTGTTCCTGAGCCCAGAGACAGATCCGTGAGCGCAGAGCCATGCGATCGATTTTTCTCTGATAGTCCATCATGTGGTTCTATTGTTCAGAGGGCAGCACCTCTCATTTCTGTCCTGATTGTCTCCTGCAGTCCGTTCACTGTGACTGTATAAGAACGGCACGGACACTGTTAATATAAGGTAAATAAGTGTAATAGTAGAATAGGCTGTTTGTTTATGGGAAATGACGAGACCTGATTGCTTTCTTGCTTTGCACTTTTGCTGACCAGTGGAGCTACACATGAGATTGAGGCTGTTTTATAAGTTGCTTTTTGTTTTATACTGTTCATAGGGATGCAGGGCTAGGGATGTTTGTAGGGGAGCATTTTGGATGAGATTTTTAAAAATGTATTGATTGTCACAAAATATTATTATTATTATCATTAAGTGATTATTTTTTTTATATTATTTATTGGAAAATTGTAACACCACAGTCCCTTATGCTTCCTGTTCAGACTTTACTTTCCAATAACTAGATGTTATTTACACCCTGTCGAAGAGAACAAGAGATGTGAACTTCTCCCTGACCCAGAGAAACCTCATGTCGCACACCATGTGATGGTGAACCTGTTTGCCTGGCTGAACATCTCATCGGGTGTCCATCTACCACACACAGACAGAGAGAGAGAGAGAGAGGAAGGGGTGAACCAGAGGAGGTTTCTTCATCAATTCACCGGCTTTTTAAGTCTGATTAGTCCTGCTGTCTCTCTTCAGAGCATCAGGGGTTTCTCTCTTGTTCCTGCAGTCCATAACTTTCTGACATGCTAGCCAACAGCAGCCAGATTATTCTTGTTTATACTTTTGTTCACATAACTATAACTATAGCCATAACTATAAAGATACTATACTATATTAGCATCCACACCATCACATGATAAACGCTGTTGATTATAAGTGTGCGCCGAGTTAATTTTGCCTGCAGCTTTAAATGCTCAAGCTCTTTAAAGCAGGACTCATTCTGATTGGCTGTCAGTGTTTTTATAGTTCATCAGCTGGAAAAAAAAATTGTTCTGAAAGTGATTCCAAATGATATCTGTATTCTTATAAATTAGAGTGAGTATTAAAACTACTTAGTTATCATCCCTTTGTGTGAATGGGCCATTAGGGGTAGGTAAGTCTGAAATCTGATTTTGCAATAATAGACCGCCACGCATTAAACTGGTAAACATACTAAAAAAGGTACTCTTTGGTTTCAGTGGATCAGAGGAACCAGTAGTGCCTATAAATGGACTCATACTGGTTTAAGGGAGGTGCTTGTAGATTTTATTATCCAACATGTAGTTTTTGATCTTTTTTTATAGTGGAAAATAAGGCGTGAGTTTTATCTGACTTGTCTATTTTGTTCAGGCAGCTGCTGACCAATTATAGCACAGAGAGGAGCAGATTTCAGTTCTTTGAGGACAAATGCTTTCTTTTCCCTCACTTTGTTCTTTTCACAAATGGATTTTGAAATGTTCTGTATGAATGTGTGATTCTGAGGCATTGTGTGTCTGATTCTTGATTTTTTTTTTTTTTGTAGTGATAATAATGTTCATCCAAAACCAGAAATTCAACAGTTTTAGAGGGCCAAAATCATTGACTGAAATTAGTGCTTCTCTAGTGGTGCGGTTTAAGCTACAAGAAGTAAATATACACCTTCTGTGCTTCACCCCCAATTATAGCCAAGTACTGGAGTAGAAACATAATTATAAAATTTAAAAGTTTATATAAAACTGCTTTATGTGAAATTTAAATGTTTGTATACAGTTTTTATTTGAGTGTTGATAGTAAAATAAATTTAATTATTAAATTTCTTAATTTAAAAAAATATTTTCAGTTTTGTTTTTGGCTAAATAATAATAAAAAAAAACCCATTAATTTTGGTTCTTCACTATTTTTTTTTTCCATCACTATTTTTTTTATTAGCACCCGCACTGAATACATCCCAAACCATGTTGAAAATAGATTGAGATCGTGAACAGTTTGGATGATTATTTTGAATTTTCATCTTTCTTTCCCTCATACACACTTTAAAAAAGCAGTAGTGGATTGATGAGACTTATGAAAACAGCTCTATGCTAAGTGTGTTGTATGGTTGTAGTAATGAAACAGCTTACTGATGTCATACTGCCTGTTTGTGCCGGAAATTTTAGGAGATTTTTTTATCACCTATAGGTCTTAGTTTTAGGGTATGAAGTTTGGGCTTATTAAGGATGTCCTTGAGTTAAATTAAGTTTGAGAAACCCTTTTGAGACAGCAGCAGTGTGTCTGTGTGTTAGCAGATAATGGCCCATGTTTATCTCCTAGATGATGTCTGGCTAGATGAGTGTTTGCCGTCCAGAATTAGACCTGTTGAAATGAACATGCTGTACAACAGGTTGTCCAAAACACCCGTCTACGAGCACATCAGTACATCTCTCAGCTCTTGAATTAAAGGAGTTAGTTCATACGAAAATGCGCATTCTGTGCTTGATAAATGGATTATTGAAATTACATGGAAAAGAGCAGCATATGAACCTTTAATATCTCCTTTTGTGTTCCACAGAAGATAGAAAAGTCTGTATTGAGCTAATTGTTTGTTAAACTTGTCACTCATATGATTAACAATTCCTTCTATAGTAATTATAATGCATTTACATGTTATAATATCTCCCACGCTGCATCCTCAGGGCTCAGAGTGTGAACCAAACCTTTTTAGATTTCATTAATTTAGAATGAATATTAAATATCCATCACCGGTCAAATCCAGAAATATCTCATGTATTCAGAGCAGCGCTGATGGCACAGCAAGTTGAACTTCAGCAGAACCATGTGTGTGTGTGTGTGTGTGTGTGTGTGTGTGTGTGTGTCCAGCTGTGCCGAGCAGCATCTGCGTGAGTCTCGATGGGAGATGATCTGCCATGTGTGTGTGTGTGTGTTGCGAAGGGCTGAGCAGCACACACACACACTCACACACAGATGGACGGGCCCTGGGCAGGCAGACGAGTCGATCAACGCAGAGGACAGATTCAGCCAAGTGCAAATTCATCGTGTTTTTACCGTAGAGGCGCTGTCAGCGCACACACACTTACACTCCTGTAAGCATGCAGATGTGCTTGGTAAATAGGATCCTCTGCCTGCTAGGCCTGTCAGGAGGAAAGTCTTTCCTCGTCTGACCCGGTTATGCTCATATCACCAGAGAGAGCGAACGTCTGTGTGTTTGTTTGGGTTTGATGTTTTCTGCTTGTGTGTTTGTTTATTTCTCCCCTTTGCTAGAGACATGTTGTCTTCCCTCTCGTAGCTCTCTGGAGGAATATTCCTCTGTCTCTCAGGCAGGGACTGCTGTCTGCTGTCCGCTCATGTGCTCAGCTCCAGAGGTTAAAATGTCAATCAGAGAGCGGGAACGTGAGGATGAGGGGAGGGGTGCGGAGGAGATCACAGGGTGGAATCAGAAAAACAGAGAGACTTTGTTATTTTTGCATTAGTTTAGTTGTCTAAAAAATGCTTTGGATACACAAATGTATCACTGTTTGTTATGCCAATAATGTACACAAAACTCAAACTGACAGAGCTTGAGATATGACTCAAGCTCTGTTCAAAAAGTTCACATTTTTAGGCATCATGTTTACAGTCCAGTGACTCTTCCAAACAATGGGTGGGCGAAGTTCAGGATACCTGTCAAGACCAAGCCATATTTCATCCAAAAACCAAAAGAAAAAATTATGCATTTTATTTAGCATATACAAAATGAAGCTATATTATTTAAATGAATGTCTTTAAAACGTCTAATCCAAGCTTACCCAGGCTGAATTTATTTGATCAAAAACACAATAAAAACAGTCATATTCTGAAATATTATTACAATTTAAAAGCTCTTTTAATATATTTAAAATATAATTTATTCTTGTGATGGCAAAGCTGAATTTTCAGCAGCCATTACTCCAGTCTTCAGTGTCACGTGATCCTTCAGAAATCATTATAATGTGTGTGTGTGTGTGTGTGTCTATTAAAATTGTGAAGTATTTTGTCATCATGGTGGTATTTTCTGTACTGCCTTGAATGTAATTAAAAACAAAAATTAAATGTGTTAACATGTTTTTGTTAGATGCATAATAATGCTGCCTTGTTTGAAATTTTGTGTTGGCCAAGGCAATCATAGAGTGAAGTGTGACAAACTCGGTGGGGAAAAAAGCATTGATAAAAGATAGTTCCATCTACTCAAACTTAGACTCTTAGGGGCCTATGATTTCAGCTTATCTCAAGCTGTTAAAAGTATTATGAATTCAATTTGTTAGACATGTTTTTTGATTATTACAATTTTATTAAACCATTAAAATGGAATCCAGCAAAATGAAAACGGAACACACAGGATTTGGGAAACAATAAAACAGATTTCATAGGGCCCTAGACTTTGCACGGTCTATATACTTTTATCACATTGCGAATTTAGTGAAACAACAATTTTGTCACTTAGCTTTTCTCTTTGTCTGTCCACAGGTAGAATGTAAGAAGGCCCAACCAAAGGAGGTGATGTTTCCTCCAGGCACGAGGGGGAGGGCGAGAAGTCTTCCGTACACCATGGATGCCTTCATGCTGGGCATGGGCATGTTGAGTGAGTCTCACATGAGCACACACACACACTCACACTGATGCAAGATGATAACTTGTGATTGGCTGCTAGACTAGAGACAGGTCTGTATGTGAACGTGTCTGGTTAGTTCAGCTCAGGTGCTGTGGGATCCTTCAGACCTGACGAGCAGATAAACGTCTGTATTAATGGCTCAAATGAAGAGGAAAATTAGGCTGATGTTCAGTGTAGCCATCTGCCTGACCTCTGCCCTCGCTAATGACAGCGCCACTAAACGAGAAGAACCCATCAGCTACAGGAGACAAACCTGCTGCCAAGATCAGTGCTGTTAATCATTCATAACACTCACAGATATATAATAATAATATTAATATAGATTTTATAATATACAAGCTTCAGATAACCTTGATATTAATACAAAATATATTTAATTATGTAATATTTCATATAAGTTGATTTTATCATATTGTTTTTCATTTTGGATATTTCTTTTTATGTTATTTATATTTAAACTGAAATAAAGAGATAAACAGATTCATTATACTAATGAATAATAATGTATAGAGATAACAATGTGTGTATATACTAGGGCTGTGCGATTAATCAAAATCATCATAAAATCGCGATTTGAGCTTGCACGATTTCTAAATCGCTTTATAGCACGATTTTCCGCGCCCCCGACCTCCCGCAGTATGCTATCCGAACCAATCAGAATGCAGCGTGCCTAAATGGAGCACGTGAACAGAACAGACCGGGTGGGCATACAAACGTAACGGCAGGTTCACACAACTCTGTCTGTGGTGCGTATTTTTTCCGCGCCCATGTTAACGGATCAGAGCGTTTTAGTGTTGTCAAAAGACCCGGTATTTCGGTACCAAGTCGGTACTAAAAAAAT